TGATCAGACAGGAACACCCAATGGATCACCGGCCTTATTTCAGACCAGGCTGGTGCCTTGTTTCATTACATCTTCCCAGCTCTCCTTCCAGGGAGCAGTTATGTCCCTGCGCCCCATTTTCAGGCAGACAGGAGTAGCTAGCCCGTGGCTTGAGCAGTTAGCGGTGGAGCCAGGGCTGGAAGCCGGTTTTCTTCTTCATCGGCCCCCTCCTCGTATTCTGCGCATTCCCCCCCCAACGCCTGTCGGACGGGGAGGGAGGCCCCGCCATCACTGTCTCCACTTTGCAGATGAAGACCCTGAGGTCCAAAGGGTGTATACTAGGAGGGGACAGAGCTGAGACTGAGAACCGGGGCTTGCCACCCAAACACAAGCGTTCAACCAGTGCATTATTTTCATAACGTGGAAAAGAAGTCTGGGGTGCAGACAGTGAGGGCCACGGGCTCAGAGGAGGCGGGGCTGGCAGCTGGCAGTGCAGCCAGGGAAGGCTTTGGAGAAGGGGGGGGCTGGGGACCAGGGTGAGTCAGGGACCCGGAGCCAGTCAGACCTGAGTTGGAATTCCAGCTTTGTCACTTCTACTGTGTGACCCCCCATCTGTGTCCCTCCCCCTCCCCCATCCCAGCCTGTGATTCTTTAGCTGGGAAAAGAAATACTAGCCCTGCCTGTGCCATGGTAGGTGCTTAACAAATACCTGTTAAGTACACAAAAGGTTGCTGATGCTTCAGTGAGATGGACCAGGCAGTTCTAGAGGGTTCGTTCCTGGGTGCTGCAGATGATGGTCCAGCTGGACCCCGTGGCTGAGCTGTGTGGCCTCAGACAAATCCCTTTACCTCCTGTGTTGTCCGGCCCAGTAACGAGGAGATGTATAAAGGCCCTGCGGGCTGGCAAAGTGCCCCCGAGTGTGGGCTTCTGCCCCTTCCCTCCTGCCCTCTGGGGGGTGAGTGTGGACCGAGCCGTCCTGGGTCTCAGACTCGCTCCTGCTGCTGCTGTCTGGGGCTGGAGGCCACCCGAGGCGTGGCCCCCATGTGTCCCACGCGTGGTGAGGATGCGCACAGGGAGACTCGCCCGGTTGCTGGAACCCACCGGGGCTGCTGCCACTCTATCAGCTTTTCATTTGCAAAGGAGGAGAGGCATTCAGTGTCACAAAATCAGAGGGAAAATCAGGGTCACAAAAGCAGAGGTGACAGGAGCAGGGTGTTCTTCCTATGTCCTCTGGACCCCTGGCAGGCAGGGTCTGCAGCCCCCTTACCCCCTGCTGGTCACCTTCACTATCTCCCTGGGGTCCTTGGCCAACTGCTGACTCACCTTGCCACATCCCTGCTCCCTGCCTCAGTTTCCCTAGTTGTCCAATGAAGTCTGGACTAGGGGCTTCAGATTTTGGACATTCACAACACAGTAAACTTTAAAAAAAATTTTTTTTAATCTTTATTATTGAAAGTCCCACAGTAGAATTTTTTTAAAAGTGGTAATTGACACAGCATTGTGATTCCTTCACTTTGCCAAGAAAGGACACTAAATTTGTAAAAAGCAGCCAGCATGTCGCATCCCCATCGTTGCCCCAAAGAAAGAATCTTTACCACAAAAGGAGTCCAGGGATGCAGCCTTAGACGAAAGGGCAGTGCCTAGAGGAAGCACCCAGGCAGGAAGAAGGACTTGCTTGAGGTCCCCCAGCAAGGCTATGAGAGGGACCCCGCCTCCCGGGGCCTCCATGACCCAGCAAGCAGATTAGACCAGCTCCCTGCCTTCCAGGAAAGTGCAGTTTATTGCAGACGTGATACAGGCCCCTAAACAACCGGGCACACATGCGTGCTCTCTCTCTCAACACATATTCAGAAGAGCATGGTGCCGAATTGCCAATGCCTCTCGCCCATCTTTTGCCGCCTGTGCCCCTTCTCTTTTGCTCTTTTCCCTCGGGCTATTGTGCCTTCATCAGGAAGCCCCATGTGACAAACAAGGGAAAGAAAACCTGGCCCTCTTCCCGTAGTTGTCACATGGAGGCACAAGGCCAGGCTTCATACTTTTCACTTTTTGGTCGGGCACGGTGCGGTCTGCCCACGCGCTGGCAGGTGGGCCTCTGGTTTCTGCCCGGAGTGACAGAGGTGCTCTCTTATTTGCGCAGGTCCCTGCAGGCAAGGGGCTTTAGGGGGACAGGCCACACACAGGCTCCTCCGTGCTGGAGGGTGCTGGGTCTGGGGGGCGCACCTGTGCCTGGAGGCAGCTTTCCCCACCGCCCAGGAATAAACATTTCTGAGTACCCTGAGGTAGCACGGGCCAAGGGCGGGCACGGAGCAGGGGCTCAGGAGCATTGCTGTGACCAGGAGAGGAGGCGCAGGGGGAGGGGGTGATGCCTGGGCCTGGGGTGATGGGCTGGGGTGAGGACTGAAGTTGGGAGTATGAGTGTAGGGGTGGGGATATGTGGAGCCTTGGGGCTGACCCTGGGCATGGGCTTGGCCTAGACTCCTGTCATTTCTACTCACAAATTGAGAACAGTGGACTGTGCTGGGGAGCGGGGACCTCGTGGAGAGCCCTCTCCTGCAGACCAGAACCTCCTCCAGCTCAGGGACAGTCCCTCTGGGCAGAGAACCAGGGGTCCCCTGGCCTTGGACAAGGCTCTCACCCTCTCTGGGCCTCAGTGACCTCATCCATGAAAGGCTAGGTCACCACACTTTGTCCCCTCTGCCACTTTCTTGGAGACCTGTGGTCTGTGGGGCCAGGGCCTGCTGGGGCCAAACCTCACCTCAGTGCCCTCCAGGGAAGAAGCTCCCCTTCCCAGGGGCACCTTCACCTTCTGCCAGGAGCTCTGGAGTGGGAGTGAGGAGGCCGGCCCACCCCCTCTTAGCAAGTCTGTCCCAGCTCTGGCTTCCTTGGCCTTAGATGCAAAATGAGGGTCTTAAAATCAGGGATCATCTGTTCCTACTTGCTCTGGTTCCTCAGTGACATTAATAGAGGCATTTACAACGAAGGGACAGAGCAGAGATGTTGAATGAAGGAGGATCTCCCTGCAAACTGTTTCTGGCCTAGAAGGTGCACCCAGCACCCTGGCTGTTGTGACTCTGGGAGAGGTGGCAGAGAGAGCCGGGGATGCCCAGGTGAAATTTTGACCCCTAAGGGCCAGCATCATGCGCCATCATTACCCGTTAGGTCTTCAGGCTGATGAGTCTCACCGATCCCATTTTCCAGATGAAGGGACTGAGGTTTAGGTCAATCAAGTAACTTGCGCAAGTTACATGGTGGACCTTGGACTTCCATCCAGGACTGTGGGACCCAGGTTGCTCCTCTGAGGGGGAGAAGGGAGAAGAACCCAGAGCAGGGGTGGGGTGACCGTGGGGGAGGTGGGCGCAGGGCTCAGTCTCCCTGGGCTGAGAGGGCGTTTCTCCCTGGAAGAGGCAGGCTCTGGAGCTGTTGATCTCTAAATTACAGCGTTGGTGCGCACCGGTTGCTGCGGCAACCGAGTTGTCCTGAACCGGGGAAGTGTATAAACATTGCCACAGATGCACAATTAGATCAGGAAGAAGAATAGAACAGAAAATAGAAACTTTCAGCCTTATATAATTCCGGGCCAAAACGTTACCAGGAACCGAGGCTTGGGCCGGCCCTGCCAGCCGCTGGGGCAGCACCATCTCTCTCTCCTGGGGCAGTGGAAGGGAGGGATGGAGGGTGGGTCTGCCCTCCAGGGGCCCAGCTGGTGCACCCAACACCCGCCACCCGCCACCCGGTGGGGTGAGGGGCCGCCTCTGCTGAAACAGCTGGGGATGCTGACAGCCCAGTCCTGCCTCTGCCAGCTTCCTCCTGCTCCGGGGAAGCGGGAAGGCAGGCAGGAGGGCAACTGGCTCTCACCGAGCACCTACCATCTCCTTGAGTCCTGTGAGGTAGGGTTTGGTCCCTATTTTACTGATAAACAAAGTGAGGCGCAAAGAGGTGAAATGCACTGTCTGAAGGTGACACTGCTGGTCAGTGGGTGTGTAACCTCCCCCACTCGGAGTCTCCACACCATGGACTCATCGATGTTGACAGCACGTGGGGGCTAAGAGCTAGACTCGCCTGGGCTTGGACCCACCTATCAGCTGTGTGGCCTTGGGCAGGTCACTGCCCCTCTCTGAGCCCCTCTTCCCTTTCTTAGGACATGGGAATAGCGATACCTACACAAGAGCCAGGCCAGGGTTCCCCCTTCCTCTGTCTTGACCACCGTTGCTGTCTTCACCCACCACTGCTCCCAACAAGTGTGGGGACACGACAGGAACAGAGGTGGGGATGCAGGTCCCAGCATTGCCCAGAAGGACTTTCTGCAACAATGGAAGTGTCCTGTATCAGCTCTGTCCAGGAGGGTCGCCAGCAGCCACGAGCACCTGAATTTGAAACATGCCTGTGCAACCGTGAAACTGAGTGAAATTTTTATTTAATTTTAAGTAAATGTAAAGAGCCACAGGTAGCCAGTGGTTGTCATATTGGACAGGACAGGAGAACATCCAGCCCCCCAAAGACCCAAGAAGGCAGAGGCTGAACCCAGGGAGGTGAGCTGGGGCCAGAGCACTCGCAGCTCCCTCTGCTCAGGGCTACTGCTGGGAGGCTGGAGCCAAGATGAGCACTGGGAAGCTCGGGCTTGGAACCGCGGGCAAAGGAGGGTTGGGGGGCGCAGCGTGAGGGGCTGGGACTAGGACCTGGATCCTGGAAGCCTCAGCTTCTGGCCTGGCAGAGAGCCCCCAAACCCGGAGCTGGGCTAGCCACGGAGGCACTGGCTCAGGTCCCGACACTCCCACACTGTCGTCAGAACCACCTTCACTGTCACGCTCTGCTGGCCAGGGCGGGGAGGTCTCAGGTGCCAGTCCAGGCTCTTCCCCTTCTGAGTATCTTTGGGTGGGGGCCTTGCCACCGGAGCCTGGGTTCCCGGGCCCCCGGAGAGGCCACCCCGACGGCAGCCCCTTGCCCCCAGCATCTCACGTGTCTGGCTTCCCCCTCTCGCCCAGGCCCTGTGTCTTCCCAGGTGACCACGCCTGCTTCAGGACATGCTCGGGCACAGCCGCAACGGGCAGGCCCACGTGCCCCGGCGGAAACGCCGCAACCGCTTCGTCAAGAAGAACGGCCAATGCAACGTCTACTTCGCCAACCTGAGCAACAAGTCGCAGCGCTACATGGCGGACATCTTCACCACCTGCGTGGACACGCGCTGGCGCTACATGCTCATGATCTTCTCCGCGGCCTTCCTCGTCTCCTGGCTCTTCTTTGGCCTCCTGTTCTGGTGCATCGCGTTCTTCCACGGTGACCTGGAGGCCAGCCCAGTGGTGGCCACGGCGGGGGCCCCCGTGGGCAGCGGCGGGGCGGCCCCAGTGACCCCCAAGCCATGCATCATGCACGTGAACGGCTTCCTGGGCGCCTTCCTGTTCTCGGTGGAGACGCAGACGACCATCGGCTACGGGTTCCGGTGCGTGACGGAGGAGTGCCCGCTGGCGGTCATTGCCGTGGTCGTCCAGTCCATCGTGGGCTGCGTCATTGACTCCTTCATGATCGGCACCATCATGGCCAAGATGGCCAGGCCCAAGAAGCGGGCGCAGACACTGCTGTTCAGCCACCACGCGGTCATCTCGGTGCGTGACGGCAAGCTCTGCCTGATGTGGCGCGTGGGCAACCTGCGCAAGAGCCACATCGTGGAGGCCCACGTGCGGGCCCAGCTCATTAAGCCCTACATGACCCAGGAGGGCGAGTACCTGCCGCTGGACCAGCGGGACCTCAACGTGGGCTATGACATTGGCCTGGACCGCATCTTCCTGGTGTCGCCCATCATCATCGTCCACGAGATAGATGAGGACAGCCCCCTGTACGGCATGGGCAAGGAGGAGCTGGAGTCCGAGGACTTTGAGATCGTGGTCATCCTCGAGGGCATGGTGGAGGCCACAGCCATGACCACCCAGGCCCGCAGCTCCTACCTGGCCAGCGAGATCTTGTGGGGCCACCGCTTCGAGCCCGTGGTCTTCGAGGAGAAGAGCCACTACAAGGTGGACTACTCGCGCTTCCACAAGACCTACGAGGTGGCCGGCACGCCCTGCTGCTCCGCCCGGGAGCTGCAGGAGAGCAAGATCACGGTGCTGCCCGCCCCGCCCCCCCCGCCCAGTGCCTTCTGCTA